TGGTTGTCAGACTCCCATGAGGCCATGCAGGGGCAACTCTGTAGGCTGTGTTTTCAGTCCAAGTTTGGTTGAGCATTGCTTCTTCCAGGTGCCATGTGGTGAGATTGGTAGAGGGCACTGGTGGGATACAACTGGTACGCCCTGGTATGGACATACCAGTGCCTGCTGGGAGCGCTAGGTACCGTTCCAGTACGGTGCTCTGGAGGGCCTGCCCACCCGCACGCTCTCCTTATCGCTATTTGAGCCAATCAGGATATTTGCACGGAGCGTACAGTGCCTGCATGACACTCCGCCAAGCAGCTGGAGCCCCACGGGTGGTGGGTATGCATGCATGTGCTGCGTGCGCACTGTGCCCATGCACATGGTGGGCGCCCAGCCCCATTGCACTGGAATCTGGAACCCACCACTGGTAGGGGGTTAATTCTACCTTTGTTATGCAGAGTAGATTGACTCAGGCCTTAATGGCTCATTAACAAAGGTGAGGGGGTGGGTTTCTGCTTCTCTGTGTTTCTACTTCTCTTTTAGGGAAAATATTCTGCCTTTTTAGTATATCCTAAAATATTTCATTTTTCTAGGAGAGGGGTGGGTTTTAACTTCCAACAGACTTGCAATCATCTTCTGAGTGCAAGCCTCTGGGATTTTTACTCTGCTACAGAAAAAGGCTGTTTTTATTTCCTGCACTATTTCTGGGGTTCCTGGCACTGTCTTCTTTGGGGTGCACGAGGATCAGAACTGAAGTTCTTTGAAAAAAGAGCAAGGGAGAGGTTGGTTAGGAAGAGAAGCTTCAGAAGGAACTGGATTCAATTCTTCACAAATATGAGCAGATTTTAAGGGAAGAAGGTTTTTATGTTCCCAAAGAGGAAGATATTAAACAATGGCACGAAGGCATTTGAAAGTAAATTTTAATTTAATCTTCAGAAAGACTCATCCTTGCATGCATGGATAATGGAAGGAAATATATCGGAACGTAATGGGACTTATTTAACTGGTGGGTTGAAGCAGAGATTGGAGAGAACAGACATGTTTAGAAAACGGAAGAAACAGAATTCTTTATTGGCCGTGATTGGACACGAAAGGAATTTGTCTTTGGTGCATATGCTCTCAGGGTACATAAAAAGACAAGATACATTCATCAAGAATCATAAGGGACAACACTTAATGATAGTCATAGGGTACAAATAAGCAATCAGGAAAAAATCAATATCAATATAAATCATAAGGATACAAACAATAAAGTTACAGCCCTGCAGTCATAAGTGGGAGGAGATGGGTGATAGGAACAATGAGAAAACTAATAGTAATAATAACGCAGCCTTAGTGAATGGTTTGACAGTGGTGAGGGAATTATTTGTTTAACAGAGTGGTGGCATTTGGAGAAAAAATTGTTCTTGTGTCTAGTTGTTCTGGTGTGAAGTGCTCTGTAGCATTGTTTTGAGAGTAGGAGTTGAAACAATTTATGTCCAGGATGTTTCTTCCTCGTTAACATCTTAAATTTTATATCACTGCTTTAGTCAAAACTCATTTAAAAAGACTTATATGTGACATTTTTAACACCATGTAACTGATTTTCTACTCAAAGGGGGGTACTTTTGCCCGATACGATCAACTTTTCTTTTGTAATTTTCTTTGATTTGTTAACTATAAAATGGACTATAAGCTGAGGATTTAAATTCTCTCTTTGCATGAGAAGAATCTTATTTAATCAGAATGTTCGGAATAAATTGTAATAAAAAAAAAATGTCAGGCCTGCAGTCATATTGCTTGCTGGATCTTTGGCCTGCCACACACTCTAATATTTTACTATGCTGTTTCATTAGTGGGGAATTGGGAGGGAGAATAATAATGAGTAGAATGTGTTGTTGTTAAAATAACAAATTCCTTTCTAGAAAACCAAGGTCATTCTTAGTCTCTGCACTTCTGAGCCAGACCGGAACTGGATGGGTGGAACTGCCAGCATGGCAGTGGAAGATTGGACCATGTGATGGACTTGTGGGTGTGGGGACAAGGAAGCTCAGATTTGGGTTTCCACAGATGTGCCAACATGTCTCTCTTAATAAATTGGAACTTAGAGCAATACTTTGCCTTGGACTCTGATTTAATTTTGAATGATATTTGGAATGCTGACAAAGAACTTCTTTTCTTGGTCTGTTTTTTTTCCCCCGGGGGCGGCGGGAGAGAA